CCCTCGTTTCCCTCCAAACCTCTTCATGCCAGCTGTGCTTGGTCTTTATGTAATTCCATTAAATTACATAAATTGATGACATTACACAAAAAAAAGAAAGAGGGTAACTGCTTCAGTGAAAACCAAGGTGAATGGCTTGGAAAGACCAAAAAAGAAGAAGAAATGCTAGAAAAGGGAAGATATATAACTAGGCATGTGGGCAAGACCTCCATAAAAGGTCTGGAAATGTTCATAAAATGTAGACTGTTTTTGCACACACAGCGTCATGACTTTGCCCTCTCAAAGTCCAGGATACCAGGTCCAACAAGCCTCTCTTCGTCTGGAGAAACTCTGACATTTCATGTGCTTCCTAACATTGCCAGTTACTGGACACAACACCCTACACCCACTGCTTCAAGGAGAGGTGTATCTAGGCTCCCGGTTTGGGTCCTCAGTCGGCTCCAAGGTAGAGACAGCATAGTGGAAAGGCCTGAGCACAAGAAAACTGCTCATCTCATGGGAGTCAAGAAGCAGAAAAACAGGAGATGAGGACAAGAATGCACCCTTCAGGTCACACCCCAGGGGACCCAGCTACGACCAGCACACTCAGCCAGGAACTCATCCATGGATGAATCCACTGATGAGGACAGCACCCTCATGATCCATCACCTTCCACATGAGACTTTTGGGGTACATTTTAGATCTAAGCCACAATAAAAAGCCTTGGAGCTAAAGGATGAGAAGCATTTTAAGAGGCAGAGAACAAAAAACAGGCTAAGGGAACAGCATGAATAGGGAAGGGAATGGCATGATGCAAAGTAGAAGGGAACAGAGGCAGCAAAGACAAGGAAGAGGTAGAAATGATTCCAGAGTCAGCCCCCAGGTCCTAGGTGAGACGAGCGTAAGGGGAGCTTCACTAACAGGCAGCAGGACCAAGATGGAGGACTTGGGAGTTGACAGGAGTCACCTATGGCCGCCTACTGAGTGTGAGAAGTTGGACCAGCGGTGGTGCTGAACCTATGGCACACATGCTAACGCAGGCTGTTTATTATCATTGAAAGCTCGCAAAGGTTCACCATCACGGACTAGGGCATTGGCTTATCCATTCCTGAGTTTGTACTATAATAAACTGTTGCAGGAGACACCAGAGGAAAAGCAAGACTTAAATTTAAACAATTTAAAAATTGTACTCACAGAAAACAGGATGCAATATATTCAGCTAGATCCATCTCATCAAACAGAGCGACCCCAGATGGAGTGAGAGGAAGGCCTGCTGCAGGCACTATGAATCTCACAGAAGGTACAATAAGCCCCAAAGGGGGATGACAGTTACCTTGGCCACAAAACCAGGGGCCATAAAACACCTGCTGATTCAGAATCTGTGAGATGTTTGGAGACCTTCCCCACAAACAAACTCATCTCCTCTTCACAATGGCCTTAGTAAAACTCGGTATTGTTACACGTGCAGATACTGAAATCAGGGGTGGTATCTGTCTAGAAATCAAAGAAGAATGAAGACTTGAAAGCTTTGTCACAAGAAAACAACTACAAAGTACACCAGACCCCCTTATCCATGGGGATACCTTCCATGCCCCCCGGTGGATGCCTGAAACACAGAGAGTACCGAACTCCGAACACACCATCTCTTCCTTTACATGCCGTGTGAGAAAGCTTTGCCACACTGGTACCTTGCCTTGGGATGCTGTGCACCCTCATGCTTCCTCTGCATCACTACGCTTGTGCTTTGGGGTTATTACTCAGTTAATATTATTATTCACTTGAACACAAGCACCGTGATATTGAAACAGTCAACCAGGTAACGACTACTAAGACTTCTGAGATGGCTACCAAGTGACCAGCAGGGCAGTGCACTGAGAGGAGTCACATCCCATGCAGGACCGAACTGGAAGCCACAGGATTTCATCCTGCTGCTCGGAACAGCACACAATTTACAACCTTGGAGTTGTTTACTTCTGGTACTTTCTATCGTACTTTGGGACCTCAGGTGATCGAGGGGTAAGCAAAACCACTGCAAGAGAAATCCCTGATGAGGATGGAAGACTACTGTACTCCAAAACCCAGGCTCCAGCCATCTCAGAGGCTTGTCAGAAACACTCACTGAGCGTCTGCAAAGAAAAAGTCGAGTCCTACCTCATACAGGTTGAGAACCTCTTACCTAAAATGCCTGGGACCAAAAGTATTTCAGATGTTGAAAGATTTGCATAGAATTTATCCATTGAACATCGCCAATCCAAAAGCCCAACATGGGAAATGCCAACCACTCCAAAAGTTTAAGATTTCAGGACATTTTGCATTGGGGTTTTCAGGCGAAGGGTGCCCAACCTGTATCTTTAAAATGTAAACTCCAGGTTGAAGGACTTGAGAATTGTACTCCTATCCAAAGTTCCCCGAATACAAAGCTCAGGCGGGCGTGGGAAGCACTGGTCTACCGTATCCCCTATTCCTTAGAACATGTTAAAGTTATGCACACTGTGTGCGGGGGGGTGTCCAAGGTAAGAATAACTAAGAAATGTTAGTCGGGTGCAGCTGGCACATACCAGCAGTCACAGCAGTCTGGGAGGCTGCAGACGGGATGGCAAGTTGAGCCCAGCCTCAGCAACTTAGCAAGACCCTACCTCAAAATAAAAAATGGGTAGGGGTGGGAGTCAGTGTAAAGACAGGGGTTAATCCCCAATGTCACAAAAAGAAAGGGAAAACAAAGAAAGGATGGGAAAGGGAGAGAAGGGAGGGAAGGAGAGGAGAAGAAGGGAGGGTAGAGGAGGGAAAGAACGGAGAGGAGAGGAGATTTGAGGAATAGGGTACTCACACGTTTGCAGTATATACCATTTCTAGAAGCATCAAATTCTCCAGGTTCTATAAACAGTACAAAACCATGTGTCTCCTGTAGAAACAGGCTCTGTCCAATGTCTCTGCTAAAAGACCCGAACACTGTGATGCATGAACTTGGATAGTAGGATCCCTGAGACTGGACATGATGTTCAATGTTAACCAAGTGACCCCAGCAGGAGGCGGTCATCACACCGCCATTCAGGCCACCGGCCAGGAACTTGGCTAAAAGGCACCTGAAAGTCTCAGCCAACCAAATGCCAAGGCAAGAGCCAGGGTGTTATTCACAGTCCCCTGGTGGCAAGAAATTCCAGGACTTACCACAAATGTCATCATCCACTTTTACATCCATATAAAGTCTTTAGCCTGGTGCCTGGTACATTAAGCAAGTGCTCAATAAATGCTAGCTATTGTAATATTTATTACTGTTAGCACCGCTATCATGATTGGGAGTCTTCCATTCTTATACTTAGGACGAAAAAAACACCCTATTAAGCACAAGAATACTGTGTTATGTTCCCATGATTTACTGCTAAATAAAAAGTTAGTGACTTAAAACAGCAATTGCATTTATTTTGGTCATGAATGTGCACTTTGGCATGGTTTGGGAAGGGGTAGAGCTTGATTCTGGTTCACATGGTATCAGCCGGGGAGGCTGGAAGGATGGAAGTCGGCGTTATCTATAGGCTTATTAATTTACATGGCCAACGCCTGTGATGGGCAAACACAATCAGCTAGGAGTCAGGACTGCCAGAGCTCCTTGGGCATCTCTTTCTTTCTTCGTGGTCTCTCCAGCATGGCTTCCAGGCAGCCCAATTTCTTAGATGGTGGCTCTAGGATTCATGGTACACAATCCCAAAGACAGTGCAGGGCAGAAGTTCTATTACCCTTTGTGACCCAGCCTCAGAAGCCAGGAAACATCATTTCCACTGAATTCTCTTCACTAGAAGCAAGTCACTAAGGCCAGCACATAATCAACAGAAAAGGGATTAAGCTCCACGTTCAGATACGAAGAATGCGGAAGAATTTGCTGATAGGTTTTAAAGCCATCACGTCTAGGAAAATCATTTCCCATACTATTAGATCCAACTTTTCCATGCTGCCAAAAGACACAAATCTGGCCAATCCTCAGCAGTCACATTTACATGCAAATACACTCTTTGTATCTGTATCCTTGAATCTATCTCTCTGATCCATAAAATTATGGAACCTGAATACAATTAGGTCTTACCTGGATTTGACAAGGGAGAAAGCTGAGTCCTGGAAGGGCTAAGGGCTTTGGGGATTCTACCCTTTCATCTGACCTTGTCTTTATCATGTTTATAAGAGCAACTATTCCTGTATCATCTTTAATGTTCTTGCTTTGCCTTGTTTATGTTTGTGATGTTAGTATATTGCTATTGTTCCTTTTTTTCTTTTCTTTTACTACTCTCTTTCAAATAAAAAAAGTTTTAAAAAAAAGGTAAAAAAAAGAGTGACTATTGATTCCAACTTGGAATCACCATTATGTAATTCGCCTGAAGTCCAAGCTTGGCTCTGAAAAGCAGTCCAAAGGAAGTGTGAGATTCTACAGATGCTACAGTTTGCATCTTGAATGTTTGCTGAATGCCCATGTGCTGAACGCTTGGTCCCTAGTCTGTGGGACTAATGGAGGGGTGGTGAAATCCTTAGTAGCAGGAGCCTGGTAGAATGAAGTTAGGGAAAATCGACTAAAAATTATTGGGAAATCGACTTTGAAAGGGACTGTTATGGGTTAGATCTAAAATGTCCCCTCAGAAGTCTCATGTGTTCAGAGGTTGGGTTTTCAGAAGGTGATTAGATCCTGGTATATACTTATTAGTGGATTAGTCCATTGATGAGTTCATACTTGAATGTATTATGAGGTAGAGGGACCTGGTTCTAAAAGGCAGATCACTGGGTCACTGGGTGTACGCCTTTAAAGGCTCTCCCTCTATCTTTCTCTCTCTCTTCACCAGGCCATTCTGTCATCTCATTTTTGCCTCACAGTCAGCCAGCCATGGATTGAACCCTCTGAAACCACGAGTCAAACAAACCTCTCCTTTAATTTGTGGGTGTTAGGTATCTTGTCCCAAGAGTGAGAAAGCAAATAAAAGGATATTGTGACCTCCAATCCTGCTTCTCCCTCTCTTTTGCTTCCTGCCTACCATGAATTAAGCAGTTACCACAGTCACACGGATCCACCATAATGCACTGCCTCATCACAGGCCATGGACTGAACTCTTCAAATCTGTGAGCCAAAATGAACCTTTGCTCTTTTTAAGACAATTATCTCAGGTATTTAGTCTCAGTAACACAAAGCTAATACAGCTTTCATCTAACCCCAAAGCCCCTGTCTACTCCACGGTGTGAAACCCCTCATGGTGGTCAGGAGTGTAGTTGGCAGGAATAATGTCAGCTCTCTGCCCCCTGTCTAGAACTCAGTGCTGTCCAACTTTCTCTAGTAAAGGCTGGACTTTCAAGAGAATCACCCATGAATGTACACACTAAGGAAAATGTGAATCTTGCATCCTTTCTTGTGGGAATACAGATTGGGGCTGGATTAAGAAGTAATGATGCTAATGGATGAGGGTAGCAGGGCGTTAGCCATTCAGGGACTGCAGCTTTGCCAAGCTGAGACCTGCACAAGCAAGCTGAGGAAGAAGAAGTTAGAGAGGGCGATTCCTCCCCAAGGCTCTACACATCTATGGAGGAGTAGTAAAAGGAAAGATTTAATTCATACCGCTCATTATGACTACCATTTAGCTTCTGTTTCCTCCCCAGATGGCTTTGTGCAAGTAAACACAGTCCAAGGGTTCTTATATCTTCCTGAACATTCACCTTCAGCTAATAAAGGAAAAGAAAAAAGTCTTGAAAAGATATTTCATGAGATTTGTGTGTTTTAATAGTAATTTCAGTTCCTTTCTTCAAGTCTTCTGGAATCAGTTCAACTGCAGGAAGATGGGTGGGCAGGGAAAAAAGAATTGAAGTGGCTATTAGAACAACTTGGCAAATTAGCAAAGTTTTTAACATCATTAAAGAGCTCTTAAATATTCTTCCCCGAACTCCATTTTTATCTTGTGAATGCATTTTAGTAATTGCTCTAAAGGAAATTGTGGAACTTTGGCACAAACATAAATGTTTGCATGATTTAAAATGCAGTGGCAGCAAAGACCATGATTTTTTTTAATTGCTAATTCTTAAACTAACCTTTTCAGTTTGTCTTGTCTTGAAAAATGCCAATTCCTATCAGCAGAAGCAGCAATAAAGACAATGCATATATTATTTAGTTGTTTATAATTGCAAACAACTTAGCTATATTTCAATACTTCTCCCGGAGCTCCAACAAGGAGCATAAGTAGGAGATGATTATAATCATTCCATCATTTTGTAAATAGAACACTGGGATACTGAGAAACAAGACTGTTTTCTTAAAGGCAACAGAAGATCACATACAGAAGCTGGCCTATAAATAGGCAGCTTTCAATCCAACCACCTGACACTACCCTGCTTATTGTTAAAACTCAATCAGTATTTGCTGATCAAGTTAAAGACACAAATGAGGAGTAGACAGACTGACGTGTTGTTTAGGAAGACTAGTATCCCAGTCCCAGCTAACTGAGTTAGTCAGGTTAATCAACACTAGATGCTATAACAAATATGCTCCAAAATCTGAATAGCTTAACATAATGATCCAATGCCCAGAGACAGAAAGCGATAGCTGGAGGGGGGAAGTGAGAGGAACCAGTATTCTGCTCCAAGCGGTCATTCAGGGACAAAGGATCCTTCTATCTGGAAGGCTACCAAGTGGTGGACTCCAAGGCCAACAGTGAAAAAGCAAGGAGATGGCACGGAGGACCCCCCCAAGACATTTTGTGGGCCAGGCCTGGCAGTGGCAAACATCTTCCCTTCCACACACCTCCCACTGCCTAGAACCCAGTCACACAGCCCCACCTGAGCTCAGGGGCAGGTGATGACCAGCTCTCTGCCTCCTTCAAAAAGGAAATCCCTTGGTGAACATAGCTTTGTCTCTGCCCCCTCAGCATGGTTTTAGGTTGCCTAAGGTCAGTCTCTCTGATCCAGACTCTGACCTGCTCTAAAAGGCATCAAAAACCCACATGTGCCCTACCTTCCAGAGCTTCAAACTGAAATTCTCCACTGCACGCTCAAACCCAGGCCTGTGGCAAAAAAAAGCAGCCATGAGAAGAAGAAGCCAGAGGACTCACCTGCTGGACACAAGGGAGGTGCATCAGCCACCTGATGAGACTTCTCAGAAGCAGATGTCCACTGGTGATGCATGGTATCTGAAGCCCCAACCCTCTTCCCCGGTCTTGGCGGGATGGCGGGGCTCCTATTCAAGGCCTGGTATCCATTAAAAAAATAACAGATCCTGCCCAACTGAAGCCTGAATGACACCAGTAAGACGGCCCCATGATGCGGGGGAAGGCGCAGGGCAGAAGCCAAGGCACAGGGCTTGCCTGACGCCTGAGCTGCCCTACAAGGGGAAATTACCAACGCACACTTGTCATTTTGTTGTGCTAATTTCCCTGCAAACATAAGCAAAGCCTTTGAATGAACTTAATATCAATTTCATTTTCTCACATTTTGTTCTAATTACAGGCCGGATTTCAAGCTCACACAGCATAATTTACAGCCCTAGAACGAACAGCTTTACAACTTTACACACTAGTGACTCAGGCTGAGTGAAGGCAGGTTCCCGGCACCGTCCTGCCCCTGGTGGGCGGCTCACATCCTGCGTGGCTGGCAGCACCGTCCCCCGCTGCAGTCCCTGGACCAACTGCCAGCGGATCCACATGCGGCGTCCCACACCCAGATGCCAGCAAGCATCAGCTGCACAGCTCGCAGTGGAAGGCACAGTACCAGGTAGCACCTCTGGACTACGTGTTTATCAGTTTCAGCTTCCTCTTCTAAGCAAAATGGACATAAGAGTGTAACTGGGATTAATGTTGAATTAAGTGAATTGAAACACCTGATTAGGTATGTATTAGATGTTCAGTAAACATAGCTGTGTTTGGTGAACTAAAGATATGCATATACGTACATATATGGGATAGATACCATTTTTTCTATTTCACAAAATCTAAGAGGTTTTCAGTGGTAAGACGGGCCATTTTTATTAACCCATAAGGGGAAAAACTGTTGCCCATTAAACTATTAAAACTGATGGTAGAAAGGTGTGGCGGTGCATGCCTGCAATCTCAGCTCTTGGAAGGTGGAGGCAGGAGGATTACTGAAAGCCTGACACCAGCCTGAGCTATATAGTTAGTTCAGGGGCAGCCTGAACTGAACAGCAAGACCCTGTCTTAAAAACACAAAACAAAATGATGGTGACTTGAATCCCAGTATCAAAGATGACAAGATGTGCATCTTCCCGGCACAGTGGCACACAACCACAATCCCAGCACTCTGGAAGACCGAGGCAGGAGGATCCCAAGCTCAAGTCCAGCCTGGGGAGCTTAGTGACTTAGTGTGACCCAGTCTCAAAAAATACAGAAAAGGGATGAAGATGTAGCTCAGTATGAAGGTGCTGGGTTCCATCAATCCCCACTACTGGAAAGGGAGGAGACTGGGAAGGAGAGGGAAGAAGGAGGGAGGGAGAAAGGGAGGGAAAAGACATCTTAACCTTGATGAAATACAATAATATATGCTAGTTTGCACCTACAAAATCTCTTTAAATAAAATCTCAACTCACTAGAATGAGCAAGGATTAAATATTCTAAGATATTGAAATTCCAGCTAAGTGAGAGTAGACTGTCTTCTGTTGTGTTGTGTTGTGTTTTTGAGAAAGGGCTCACTATATAGTTCATGCTGGCCTTGAACTCACAGGGATTGTCCTGCCTCAGCCTCCCCAGTGTCCAGGCCAGTCTGGGTACATTCTGATACTCACTGAAGTGTACTGGGGATGGAGCAGGGATGGCAGGCACTGTGGATTTAGAATGCAGCTGCAGTTCCTTCCCTCCTGCTCTTTTGCAACAGCCATGCTTAATTACTTCCTTTACAAAACAATTATACTCTGATTAAACAACAGGAGCAAATGTGACTACTGGTGTACAGGACTTCCTACCTTATACAAAGATATAATGACTGGAGTTGCTGCAGTCACTTTGTAGCCATGAGGAAAAGACCAAGAGAAAGAGTGTGACATGAGCTATGACATCAGGATGTCAACCCATTGCTACCTACCACTTTTTCTCAGTTGGTTAGATGACAACAAATTACTTGCTGAAGAATTAAGCCCTCAACGACACAGAGAAAAGTAAAGCCCATTTGTTGCAATTTCTGGGTCAGACCACGTCAATAATTCATTATGATGCAGGGCAGAAATGAACAAGGGCCCAAAAACAAACCTGGAAGAAAGGACAATTCTGAGCAGACAGCAAGAAGGCTTTGGGGCATAAAGGACCTGTGAACTGGTCCTCGGAGATCACATGGGAGAAGAAGACAATCTTCATAATGGGAGCAGTTAAGGACCCTGAAGTCACACACTCATTTTACAGGGACTCACACCCTGGTTCTCGGAAACAGAGTCCACCTAGAATCTGATGCTCCTCACCCTGAGTTCGCGCCTCTCCCCACAGGAGGGACAGACGCCTCCAAGCACGAGGTTCCCTCAGTAAGCACGAAGCCCACAACCAGCCTCTGCGTTGCTGTGTCCGAGGCTGGGCTGGGAGAGGTCCCTCTGGAACCGGGCTCCTTATTAGCTGTCAGACCGCGCACGTGTGGCCACCTGTAATTACGGCAGCGGTTTATTACTCATGCATGGCAAGGCCGAGCCTCTGCAGTTAGCAGTGACAGGGTATTATTAAAAGGGAAAACTTCTCTCTCAGTGGCTAAGCCGATTGTCACCCACATGTCAGACCAGCCTAAATACCTGGGAGCAATAATCACTAAGGGAGAGGAAGGTCTTTCAACCATGCAGGCTCCGCATCTAATCTAAGTGCTCTGGAAGGAAGAGAGGGGGGGGGGAAGGGTGGAAGGAGATAATGTAGTAGGTTCCTTCTCATCAACCTACAGGCCACCGCTGAGCCAGCCCAGCCCACTTCCGCTGGGCTCAGGGAGGCCCAGGGAACAGGAAGCAGGTGCTGGATAGGCCGAGAACCCAGCTCTGACAAGCATGCATTGTGAGCAGTAATTCCTGCTTCAGTGGGACTGTCCTACTAGAGAAGAAGCTGACTGGGGTCCCTGGAGGTGACAAAACATAAGGCAGAGAGGTGAAGACCCAAGCCAGAAGGAGCCAGAGAAAGGGGCAGAGCAGGGCTGCACCTGAGGTTTAAGAGCCCCAGGGGCCCAGGAAGAATTGAGCTGCAGAGAGAACTCAGGTGGGCAGGTTCCGATGTTCCAAATGCAGCCGTACTGCGTGAGGACCCCTGGTTCTGGACGCCGCCAGGGAGAGAGCTGCGAAGCGAGGCACAAGTGGAATCAGGTTGAGGTTCAGGAGGCTGGAGGAGCCCAGTACGCTCACGCATGTCAGGACAGGGGGAAGAGCGTTGTGCGCCCCCTACCGCCCGCCCATCTGCAAGTTCCGTCTCCAAGAGTCCACCAATGCAAGATTGAAAATATTCAGGGAAAACAAAAAAAACTGCATCCACTATGAATGTGTACGATGGCTCTGGTGTTTTGTTTATAGCTCTGGTGGGAATGGAACCCAGGATGTCCTGCATGCTGGTTACGTGGTGCACCCACAGAGCTACACCCCCAGGACAGAGTTTTTCTGCTTATCATTCCCTACACAATGCAACGTCACAACTGTTCCCACAGCACTCACACTGGATTAGGTATTTTAAGTAAGGTGGAGTGCTTCACGGAGTATATGGGATGATGTATGTGAGTTCTAGGCAGAGACCATGCCATCCCTAGGTCTGGGCATCCCCGGGTGTCTGGAACATAAATCCCCCTGTGGAGACTGACAGACCACACTGGATTCTAACACATACCCCAGCCTCACACGGGGAGCCAGAGAGGATGTCCACTCAGACCCCACAGAGCTCTCTCCCTTCATGACTGCCCACGGCTACAGAATGAGGTCTGAGCCAGCCCAGGACCTAAGCCTGGTTTATTCGGCCACCACCTGGTCCTGCAAACAAGCACCAACCTTCCCAGGAGCTCCCCACATGCCACTGGACTCACAGCCCCACCCCATGCACTCTTTTTTTATTTTCTTTGTGCAGAACTGAGGGTTGAACCCAGGTCTTCACACTGAGCTACATACCTCTCCATCTCTTTCTCAATTTTTTTTTATTTTGAGACAGTATCTCACTAAGTCACTAAGTTGCCCAGGTAGGGCTTGAACTTGCGATCCTCCTGTCTCGGCCTTGCAGAGTGCTAAGATTATGGGCCTGCACCACCAGCCCTGGCTTCTCCCTATCCCCTCTTCTGCCTCTTTGCTGTTCTGGATGCAGTAATCCCCAGCCCAGGGCTGAGCACCCCTCAGGTGCTTCTCTGGTCTCTGACTCACTTCCACATCTCCTGCCACCTGGCTCCTCCTGCCCGTATGTCACAGTTTCTCCGTGCTTCTGCTTAAGTCCACACTTACTGGGTGCCAGCTCAAGCCCCACTCACGCTCAGCCCAGCATTCTTTTGGGATCCAATGTGCTCCAGGTAAACTATAAATGGAGCTTCCTAACTGGACCATGGACAGACATGACATCTGCACCCCTTTGTATTCCAGCCGATGTGGATGACTAAAGCATTCAGGAATGAGATTTCTCTAAGACTCCTGAGGGAAGCCTGAAACCATAGGTCCTCCCAGCCCCTAGGTGGTGCTTTGGATCTGAACTATCCCCCAGTGCACCCACTAAAGACTTGGTCCCAGCTGTGCACCATGCAGGGTGGTGGTAAATTTAAGAGATGCAGCCTGGTGGGAGTCAGCAGGGGTGTGTCCTCAAAGGGGCTGTGAGACTTCTCCTCTCTTTCACTTCTACTCATAGTGGTGTGGACAGGTTTTCTCCACCACGTACCTCAGCACCACAATGTACAGCACCGCCACCCCAAAGCAACATGAGCAACAGATCATGGACTGAACCCCCCAAATCACCAGCCAAAATAAACCTTCCCTCTTTAAAAGTTCAGGCACCTCATGGTAGTATTCATTACAGTAACAGAAAGCTGACTGATACACCCTATATACTATTTTATTCCTGAAGATACATAGCTATGATAAATCTTAATTTGAACATTAAATTTTGCTAAAATGAATAACTAATAAAATAGAACAGCTACAATAATATACTGTAAGAAAAGTTACGTGAATGTGATCTCTCCCTCTGACACACTCTGTCCCTCCCTGCCTCTTTTCCTTTCCTCAAAATATCTTATTGTACTGCTGACTGCCACTGACACCTTGGATAAAGAAAACTACTGTGTACAGGCCGCTGTGTCAATGCTCCCAGGCCTCCAAAGGATCACGCAAAGGCCATCATTAGAAGAGAAGGGAGGAGGGAAGAGAGAAGAAAACAGAGCTCAGCCTCAGACAAACACACAGAAGAGAGCAGGATCACCAGTTAGTCCGGAGAGGCCCAGAAAGTTAGAATGAAACTGATCCCCTTTCTCCCTTTTGCAAATTTACTCGATGACGATAGTCACACTGCAAGCTGGCACCAGCAGCTGTCCGTGTATGTGCTCAGAAGGGTTTGCTGAGCCTGCTCTGAGCCAGGGCAGCTGCGGGCACCCTGGATATACTGGGGAGGGAGTGGCCAGGGCTCTTCCTCTCAGGAGTTGGGGGTCCCAGGGCTCAAGTCCCACATCACGCTCTGTGTTTTGAATCTCAGCTCAACCTGACATACCAGGACCCCATTTAGCAACTGAAAAGCAAAGCGACTTGCCCAAGGTCACAGCATTAGTAAGTGACAGAAGTGCAAACGAAACGGGGTCTGTTCTGCCCGCAGTGTTAACAATCCATCGTCCACCGTGTCCTTATGGACTCACAGCCTGTCTCTTCTTGACGTGGACCTCACGGTGGACCTGCTCCTTCTTCCCGTTGTCACTCTCAGCTCTAAACGCTGATCCTTCCTCCTGTCCGCAAAGGACACTCGCGATTTGGTAACAAGCAAAGGTCAGCAGGGTTGGGTTTCTTGGGCAAGAATGACACTGGCTGCCTCTCTTGCTACCTGGGTGCTGGGCAGGCAGCAGCTGTCCCCTGCTGGCAGGGCGCCTGTCACACACTCTGGCTGACACAGACAGACGTGCCTGTGATTCCGACTCGGGATATGCAAGAGCAGAGCTCCTTTTTTTCCAGGAGAGGCCGCTTCCCCCAGAGGCTGAGCTGGTGGAAGTAGCAGCTGTGCACCTCCCTCCAGCACCCAGGCTGCACCCACCAGGCGCTGAGAACCTGCACGCCACCAAGCCCCACATGCAGCTTGTGAAAGCGCGCTGGCCTGGCTGCTGCCTGCTCCCTCTTACCCTCTGCCCACAGGATATGCTGCTCATCAGCATCTGCGGTCTACACAAACGCATCTGTATCCCAGCAGCAGAGGGGAACCAGCACAGGACTGGCTCTGCGATCCAGTGAAGGGATCTTTCAAAACGTCATCCTCCTCCTTTGATTCCACTGTGAGCAGAGGGTATGCCTCTCACTCTTGGGTCATCTGGGAACATTTTCGTTTTTGACTGCAGCTTCCTGTGCTCCCGCGTGGCTTTGGGGCAGGACTAGGATAGGTAATTCTGACCTCTCTCCATTTCTGTAAAGATTTTCAATTTCTTCAAGCAACTCCGCTTCTATTCAATATCCTTCTGAAATCTAAATCTGGAACCAAACTGGAATTGATTGCGTTTCCTCTTGCAGCAGGGCTGCCCTGGGCTCACTGAGAGAGTGCTGACGTGGGCCCTTCGCCTCTGATGCACACTTTAAGAGGACTCTGAGGAAGGTGGGGTCACCGCCAGGCCTGGGAGCCTACACGGAGCCAGCAAGGTCTGCACCCCGCACCTCCCCGCCTACACAGCTGGGTGGGAGTGGAATGCGGGGAAGCTCTGCCCTTCACAGACTGAGACGCTCAGCTAAATCACACAGTATCTCTGTTTCTCACCTTTCTCATTTCTAAAATGACAGAAATAAATAACTTCTTCAGAAGGTGACAGGAGAGGCGAAAGAAAGCCAAATGTCATGTGCACAGCCACCTGGGGAATTCCATGAACAACGACAACTACGAAAATCTGCCTGCTTCTACAATGCTGGTACCACTTTCAACATTATTTTTAGAGTTTTGCTTTGCTCTGGATAACTGGTTTCTAGGTTTTCCAAATTTTCCGAACTTAATATGAGTTGATTTTAGGCTACCGAAAAGACTATAAAGCCGTATTCATGTTACACAATCACACATTCAAAGGAAACATGCTGACGGTTGCTGGTACCCAACCTGGCCAGCTGTTTCTCTCTGTGGTCTTTGAAGGATCTAGTTCCCCGCAGCAGAAGAGCAAAGACTAGATCAGCCTCAAGACGGCAGGGCAAGATGGCCCAGGCTGCGAGCTTCCTCACCTCGCACTTCCCAGTTAAGTCCTTCCAGCCCCCGCCCTCATCACATCACTCAACCCAACCAAGACTGTACAATCCTGAGGGTTATTTCCTTGGTGGCTATGATTCACCTCCTAAAATTAGCCCCATCAATTAGTCAAGCAATAAACTTTTAAATGTCCACCTTGTATGCAAAGTGTCACAGCAGATGCTGAGAGATGCAGGTAGGATTTAAAAGTCTATAATAAGGTCCCAGCCCTTAAGAGGCCTACAGTCCATTTGTGAACTCAAAAGCTAAACCCAGCTAGTCATGGTGGTGCACCTGAAATCCCACCCCTCTGAGAAGCTGAGACAGGAGGGTTGCAAAGTTCAAGTCTAGCCTGGGCAATTAAGTAATTTAGTGAGACCCTGTCTCAAAAGTAAAAAAATTTAAAAGGGCAGGGGATGTAACTCAATGCAAAGGCCCAGTACCACTAAATAAATTAACAAACCCCAGAGCGCAGGCCAGAGTTGCACAGGGCCACTGACAACGGAGAGAGCGAAACCTCAGCCCAGTGACCTGCCGTAAGCCCCAGGAGGTGACCTTCTGTCAAGCCTGAAAGGATGGACAGGATGGGAAAAGGGATGGGGAGAACAGACAAAACCAGAGCAACCAGCACTTCCCAAAGACTGGGGCTGCAACGTGGAAGGTAAAGGCGCTGTGGCTGATACAGGGTATTTCAGTAAGTGCTTGGGTCTGGCTGGAGGAGGCAGAGGCACTGGGCCAGGCAAAAGTGAGAACACAGGAGATGCCTGCTGAGGTGAGCTAGGTGGGCCCTGATCCTGGCCTGCAGGCTGGACCATGATCCCTTGGGACACCGGAAGCTACTGAACAATTTGAGGCCTCTGGAAGTACTGGCTTTCCACTTAGAGAGCTGGACCGTAGCATGTGGTCACAGGTCAGTCCCACAGTAGCCTGGGGTAGGAAATATGGGGGCGGGGCTAAAGGAGAGAGTGGGAAAGCAGCTGTAGGAGAAATTCTGGAGTTCCTCCTCCAGATAATTCAGCCCAGTGCGCTTCTCCACATCAGCATCTCCGCTTGCTCTTGAAAGTGTCCTTCACAGCTGCACCAAGAAAAATGAAACAAAACTTGTAGCTGCTTTCCAAAGGCGTGATTCAGGGCCATGGCGTAGCTCTTTGTAGGGAAGTCTGAATCACCCCAGGCTCAGGGTGGCCATTCACAGGCACCCAAGAAAACCTGTACCATCAGGGAGACAGAACCAAGACGGTTGTGCTCAGCAGCCATGGGAGGTAGAGCTGGGGGACCTGCTTAGGAGTCCACAGGACAAGTTTTAAAAAACCTGAACAAATTTTTAAATGCCGGCTCTGCTTTGCATGAGAAGAATTTTTACATTTAATGGATGTATTATAGTCAAATGACCATCAACCCTCCCCAGGATACTCCTCCTTGCTTCAAATACACTTATCCCTGTGTTCTTGCCACTTTCTGCAGCAGTTCTGGAAGTCCTCTTTCATGAGAGTCCCTGGTTGCACTGCAGAGGTTGCCTCGATGTCCTGAATCCATTTAAAACATTTCCCTTTCATGTTTTTAACTTTAGGGGCCAGACCCAGTGAATAAGACAGATGAGAACACACTGTCAGAGTTTTACAACCCTGCCTTTAAATTAGATGGCACTCAAAAGCAGCTTTCACCATGTTTTTGATCACACCTCAAAAAGACACTCACAAGAGGACTTCAAGAACAATCGGCAAAGCAAAGGAAGTATCTTAATGGATTAATCATAATGCGTCTTTGACTATGATAATTTTTTAAATTTTTACTTAAATATTCACAGGATTTTTTTTAAATCCCATCCTATATTCATTCCCATGCCCATTTCTTGCTGAGGAATAAGGAAGACTGAGGTGCAGGCTTCCTCCTCCTTCAGCAGCAACGGAGGGAGACAGGTGCAGAGCAAGAAGTCACACGAAGCGCAGGTCCATCTCGCCAGGCCCCGGGGAGGGGAGCCCTCTCGTCCCTCCCCCAGCCTTGCGTTGCAGCAAAATATCCCAGAAGGCTTCAGGCATCAACAGGTAGGACACGTGCTACCCAAAACAAGAGCAGGCAAAGGGTGGAGAGCTTGAGGGTGGGTGGAGAAAGGAAAGGGAGGGTCTTCTCCATTTCTAAACTTTCCCCTGCTCTGCCCTTTCCTGCCAGGTTTCGTGTCTCTACAAACTACAGTCGAGGTAGCCAGAAAGATAACATCTGCCATATCCCAGCTTGAACTCCGCCTCGCTCAAGAAACGCTCTCAACGGAGCCTTTCTGCCAACTCTTCCTTCAAGCCTGCAAGGTAGGAAATCTCAGCCTTCCCACGCCGCAGCCCCTGAGTCAGCCGGTCTGGAAACTGCACGGCAGCTGGTCACAAAGAAAGCAAGCTGACCCTCAGTCAGCCCTTGGGAACAAGTCTCTGTGTCTCAGAAGTCCCTCCAACCGGCCAGCTTTGGAACAGCATGAGTCTTGCTCAGCTTGGTGCAGGCAGTAGAATGTCAGGCACAAAGACTCCAGCCACAAGCTTGGCAGAAGCCAATGCTCACACTCTGCTCCAGACCTGCTGGGATGTGTGTCCAGAAATCTGTGTCTTAGGGTGCCCCCCGCAAGTGATTTCTGATGCATGCTACAGAAGGGGACAAGCTGGGGCAGCCACTTAGAGCCCCCATCCTGGGGCCAGATGGTCCAGATTCAATTCCTAGCCCTGCCATTCACTAGCTGGGTGGCTGGGAGCAAGTCACTTGGGGATGAATAAGAGACCTATCTCATAGGTTGTCACAAAGACTAAATGAGCTCACGCATGCCAGCGACATTTAGAAAACACCAGGTAGAATTTTATTATTTCCTACTGATGTACTTGTATGTAATATTCCCAAGAGAAACCAACCCCAAAATGGTCTGTTTGAACACCCATGGGACTTAAGCTACTCTTTGGGTCCTACGGGTCTGTCTGTGGCAGGTACCTGCAGAATAAGGCTCATGCTCACGTTTCTAATTCCTCCGGGAATGAACTTCCAGGTTTTGGCCCCTTCTGCTTGATTGTTTGTGGATACTCAGGCGAAGACCTTCTGTGTGACCTCCGCAGGCTGCCCCGATGGCCTGGCCACACCACCTATGAGGGCCAGGGACAGGATCACGGCTTCACACTGCAGACACTAGTTCAAGGCAACCCCTGGGTGCTTACTGATGTGAAGAGACCTGTGTGTGCACAGACCCGACCACGGCCCCCTAGAATTACACAGAAGGGACCATCAGAGAAGACTCTACCATCTTCCTTCTCCCTGATCCCTGCCACCTGCCACCAGGTCTCCAAATCTCACCACCATGAAGACAGCGACTCTGGCCCCCAACCGTACCCAGGTTACGGTTGTGACTGCAGCTCCACATATTTTTTTCAACAAACCTAATAACCTTATAATGAAGAGAAAACCAGAGACAGAAGTTTGTACTCAGTGGCCAAGAACAGAGCTCTGTGATCAACCAGGCAGGGGGCTCTGACTGCAAGCTCTACTACTTACGAGTAGTAGGGCACCAGGCAATGTAGATAACCTCCTCCAGCCTTGTTTTCTCATTTCCCACATGGGGATGGGATGGAACCGCTTCGGACTGATGCAGTCTATGAGATAATGCAATTATAATGCTTTCCCTCAGCACCTGGCAGGCAGCAAGAATTCCACTAGTTATTTATTATCGTTATCTTTATGATTATCTGCAGTTCTGGAACTAACATGTAAGAACATGAGTTAGAAGCTCAGGACAGAAGGAGGCAGCCTGTACCTAAGCCCTGCATCTGCCTTGGATAAACCCATGCGGATCCCTCAGAGCTGCCTGTACTCTAGATCAGAAATACCTGGTAATACCTGGGGGACAGGAGGTGTCCCCAGGACCAGGTGTAACCAGAGTCCAATGAAAGTCTCCCTCTTTCCCTAAACCACTGGAAACACCTTAGATGGGACAGATTCTGACAACCGTCCCTAGCTGAATGCCACACCTCCCTTTGCTACACCCCGTAAGCACCTGTTTCTTGGGCTCCCCGTGAACTTTAACAATTGCCCCGCTGCACCTCTAGATCAGAAACGGGTGTAGTTTTGACACCAGCCTTCACCAAGGCAGCGGGACAGGAAGAGTGTCCATGATTAGCTGTGCAGCCCCCTCATGGATGGATAACACATTCACTCAATTCAGTAGAGAAGTACCTGGAGCTTTGATTTTGCAACATTTAAACCCACCGATCTCCCACCTCCCTATCTCCTTCCTAGACCTCGGTCCAACCCTCAGTCCCGCCTGGGCATTCCTCTAGTTCCTGCCTTCCGGCTGGGGTCCGGAAGAAATAATTTCCCGCCTGGCACGCTAAGACCAAGAGTCAAATGTACTGTCCTATTTCCAAGGTAAAACCAAACTTAGAGCCGGGGCAGCAAAGAGGCAGGTAGTTTTCTTTTCAGCAGCCCGGGGCCTCCTTCCCGACCCGGGGTAGGGAAGGTAAGAACAGAGGGGAAGGCAGGAAGCGAGGACTGCCGAGCGCCCCGTGCGGAGTACCCAGGGCTCACCCCATTCCCCGCCCGCCCTCCCACTCCCTTGGAGACCCTGGAGGAGCGCGCGTCCCTACCATTCAGCTGCCGGTAGACGATGTCCTCCAGCAGCGAGAGGCGCTTCAGGACCGCATCCTGGATGGGGCTGGCGCTGTGCGCGCTGAGGTTGGCCGGCTCGGCGCGCGGCCGGATCTCGTGGAAGGCGTCTCCGCTGCGCACCGCGATGGGCCGGCACTTGGCCAGGAAGAGCACGAAGCCGGCCACTGCGATCAAGTTCAACACCAGCAGCACTTTGACTCTTCTCAGTGAAGCCATCAAACAATCTGGCCGGCCCTCGCCTCGGACCCGCGACCCCTAAGGCTCCGGCGAGGCGCAGGGCAGCCGGGGGCCGTGGGAGCCTCAGACACCTGACGGTGGGCGACGATTCCCGCCGCTGAAGGCGCCCCACGAGGATGCTCGGGCAACGGGGAAGGCTGGGAGGAGCGGGTGGCCGAGGGGAGAGCGCAAACGCTCACGTGGAAGCCTGAGGGCTGCAGAAGTGCTGTCCGCCGAGACGCCTGCTGGGTCTACGGCGCGCAGCCCCTTCCAGGCGTCGTGGCGTAAGGCTGGGGGTGTTCGCTGTGCACCAGCAAAGGGTTCGCCTTGGACTTTGGGCGGACCGATCCGGCTGCTCCGGGAGCCGCGCGCGCAGGTGCCCGGCGCAGGAGAGCGCGCCACTCCTCGGTCTCCTACGGCCCCCACCCTCTGGCCGGCCGTCGCGGCGCGCTCTTCAGATGAGGACCCGCTCCTTGGGGTGCTTGCCTTTGTTCCGCTCACCGGCCCGCTCCATCACGCACGCCGGGCAGAGCGCTCCGCAGTCACGCTCAAGTCTGAATTACTCTCAAAGTGGAGGGCAGCACTGGATGCAAGGTTGGCGGGGGCGAGCTGTCCTCTTCGCCGCCTCCACCCCGCCAGCAAACTCACCAGCGCGCACAGCGCCGCGGGCTCCCGGACACGTTCCAAGTCCCCACGCCGCGCAGCGAGCCTTCCGGGCCTGTCTCCGAACTGGCGCGTCCCGAGGCTGGCCGGAAGGAGGAGTCGGACCCCCAAAAGTCACAGCAGTTTTCTATCGCCCCCGCCCATCTCTGCCTTCCCCAAAACGTCGCGGAAAAGCGCGACCGGGAGCGACGCGCGTGGGCGTACCCACCGCTCGTCCCGCGCCCCCAGAGCCCAGCGCCGAGTGTCCCCAAGCCGGCGGACGCAGTGACTCCGCCGCTGCGGCACCAGGAGCTCACACAGCCCGGAGGCTGGGGAGCCGGGAGGGGACGCGCAGGTGGCGACGGAGGGCGGGGCGCAGCCGCTGCTCCTCCTCCGCCGCCGCCCCTGGCCACTCGGTCTCCGCGCCAGCAGCTCGGCCGCCGCTGCCCGCAGGCTCCAGGCGCGCAGCTCCCCTGCCGGCCGGCTCGTGCGCGCGCACCCGGAAAGGGTGGGGGCGCCCGGAGAGCGCGGACCGCGAGGGACGGGGATGCGGACTGGCTGGCAGGGCAGTCAAGTCATGTTGGCGACGGCTGCCGGCGCCGGAGGGACCCTTGGGTTCTCAGCGCTCCCCGAGCTGGCAGGTTTGTTCCGTCCCGGTTGGCTATGAAGACATCCCCTTTCTGTGCGCTCTCAGCTTTGCTTTGCGTGGCCAGAAATGGCTAGAGGGAAAATCTGGCCTGGAGACTCGGGATTGTGTGGCTTTCTGAGCCAGGCCAAGGTTCGTTGTCTCCGGCTGAGAATTCAGGATGGTCCGAATCAGCTTCTGTGTCCATCCACGCTTCTGGGGACATTTTAATAGCAGAAGCACGTTCCTTTGACTAATGGATTTCCACGACTTCTTTTGCTCCAAACCCAGGAGCCCCCCCCCCCAAAAAAAACGGTCCACGACTTCTTTTGCTCCAAACCCAGGAGCCCCCCCCCCCAAAAAAAACGGAATCCTAACGCTTCCTTGATCTATTTAATTCCTTAGGCTGGAAGAAAGAAACTAGGCTTCCAACGAATAAAAATTAGGCAGTAAAACTAAATGAGTTGGTGGTTTCCACGTCATTATTTCCATCTTGTTAAAAGCTTTTTTGTTTGTTTT